ATCTGTTTCATGTTGCTGCTGATCTGTTTCATATTGCTGCTGATCTGCTTCATGTTGCTGCTGATCTGTTTCATGTTGTTGCTGATCTGGTTCATGTTGTTGCTGATCTGTTTCATGTTGCTATTGATCTGTTTCATGTTGTTGCTGATCTGTTTCATGTTGCTGCTGATCTGTTTCATGTTGCTGCTGATCTGTTTCATGTTGCTGTTGATCTGTTTCATGTTGTTGCTGATCTGGTTCATGTTGTTGCTGATCTGTTTCATGTTGCTGTTGATCTGTTTCATGTTGTTGCTGATCTGTTTCATGTTGTTGCTGATCTGGTTCATGTTGTTGCTGATCTGTTTCATGTTGCTGCTGATCTGTTTCATGTTGATGTGTTCAAGCGTGCTCATCTGCTCACACAGACTCATGTTCGTGCTGCTGTTCGACGTATTGTTTTTATACTACTAGTGCTTAGTGTATGATTTAGTTGATGTTTTTCTTAGTTCATATCTTAGATCTTATTATTGTTTTTCTTTTACATTTCATTGTTGGATGTAACTGGGACCCCGTGTACATAACCTTGTTCCACCACATGTACCACATGAGGTGCGAATGACAAATAAATAAATCTCGGACTCTGACAACTGTTGTGCAAAGTTTGTTGTACATTTATTCAAATATAAGGGTCAGAGACATTTGGAAATGTTCAATAAGCTTAAAAATCTAAATAAATTGCCCATTACAGTGTACTAACTGGTGTTGGTTTCTAAGCACAGTATACCCACTACAAAAATGTCGACTACACCACTGGGGCTGACTGGTTGTTTCGCTTCTCTCTGAACAACCAGTGTTTTAGAACTGGTTCAAATAATGTCCTTAAGGTTTAATTAGTTGATTTTTAAAGTACGCTTAGGAAACAAGGAGCAAATCATAGTTTGGGAACTTGTTGAATATTGTCAGAATATATTTCACAAAATCAAAACCAATTTTAATTGGGTGATGTAGTTGCACCTATTAGTTGTTTGAATATTTACATGGTGTCTTTGAGCAAGGCACTGAATGAACCACAGACTAAAGAAAGAAAAACAGTGACATGATGATGACTCTGCGATGATGATGAAGAAGGGTGTGTGTGTGTGTGTGCGTGTGTGTGTGCGCGCAGCCCACACCTTGTCTGGGTGTGTCTCCCTTTAAAAGCAGCAGGTCCTGCCGCAGTTTCTCTTCTGTGTTTCTGCTTGAAAGTCTTGAACCGTCCGGGATGGATCTGTTCTACCTGAACCCGCTGCTTTTCCTATTCTTTCTACCTGGTGAGGTTTACAACTTATTTAAAACCAAGATGATCTAAGTTTGCACGTGCAGCTTGGCTGATTTTGAGCTATTTTCTAACGATGCTTCACGGTTTTTTGTTTTTTTTTTGTCCGCAGGTTTCTGCGCAGGGAGCAGTGTTCTTCCGCCGGGTCCGGTGGACGTGGTTGCGGGGAAAAGCGTGACTCTGAGAGTGCTGGTGGCGAAAAACACGGACGACATCATCATCTGGAATTTCAGCGACGGGAAGGACCAAACGAATGTCGGCACTTTGCGGTCCAACACGTCACAGCTGAACGATCCGTACAAAACCAGAGCTGCCATTGACCCAAGCAACGGGTTCCTGACCGTGAACGCCCTACAGAACGAGGACAGCGGGGACTATAGCATCAACATCTTAAAGTCTTCCGGCACAACTCTGACTGGAGAAATTAAAGTCAGAGTTCTGGGTAAGTCTTTTGGATACACGGATCTATAATAAGCTCTTTTTTTTTTTTTTTTTTGGTTCATTCTTTTTAATTAAACCATAACTCATAAAGAAGAAGAAGAAAACCACTCAGCCTAAAACATAGTTCCTTAGACTCAACGCTGTCACACCTGGTGCGCAGTAGATATCCCTCCGCCAGCAGGAATAACTGAGTAATGCGTCACCTGTAACCAAACTGCTGTTGAGGACTACATTCAGTGAACACATAAGTAACAGGTGTTATTTGTTTGGGTTTATGCTGCGCAGCATGTTGTTCATTTTAACAAACCATACTATTTATAAAGTATTCACATGTCACCCTGAGGGTTTCATACACATAAAATGCTGGATTTGCCTGCAGTATCACACACCCTAAATAACACTGAGCTAACAGGGCGTGGCGCCTCATACTGTACTGGAATGTGTGTCTGTTGTTGCATTAGCAAATGGAAATGGGAAATGGACTACGTATATAGCACCTTTCTATCTTATCACGACACTCAAAGCGCTTTACAATACAACATGTCCTCGTTTACCAATTCTTACAGCACTCTACTAGATCTCTACAAAGATTAATCAGTGCTTTAGATCACATTCATACACACATCAGAGGCAGTGAGGGGTTCAGTGTCTTGCCCAGGGACACTTGAGCATGTGACTGCTGGTGGAATCAAACCCCCAACTCTTGCATTGGAGGACAACTGCTCTAACCACTCAGCCACAGCCGCCCATTAGTTTCAGGTGGAAGTATCTTTACAGCTGTACCTGTCTGCTTTAGTCTTCATGCTGCATACAAAGACAGAATGTTGATGGCCTAATTGCATGGCTTTCTGTGTAAGGGGGATTATATTTCTCACCTGGGCACAAAAATGAGCTTGATACACCCATTAACACCTCTGGGAGACTGTTGCAAACACAGTTGGCCTTTGGGGACAGAGCCAGTAGAGCTTACTGTGCCCCAATGCAGACAGCTTGAATAGGAATTATTCATGTTGTGTGAAGAAAGGATTTGTTCTTCTATCCTTCCATTTATAAAGGTGTCCGAACGAAGTTCCACCAACAGAAAAACATCAGGCATGTTTGCTTTTACCTCACTTAACCTCCTACGGCCTGGCATCCACATAAGCAGACATTATAGGAATTAATAATGCATGTCATGCAAGAGTTAAAACTGAGATGAAGGGTCTGTCCCCTGCGGAGGTCAGTGCTCGGGACAGAAAGTAGACCTACAACTGAAGATTGGAGTCTCCGAGACTGTGTATGGGTGCAGGACACCTGACAGGTACTCAGGGGTCAGTGCATTCAGGTGTTTGTAGGTGAGAAGAAGGATCACTTGAAGCTGTGGGATTTATATTGTACTTGGTAGGTGGCCATTTTGGATTCAATAGGGGGGATGTAGAAATGAAAGCTGCAGGTTCAACTCCCAGATGGAGTCTTACTGCTCCCCTGTGCATTTGTAGGTTTTCTACAGCTACTTTGGTTTCCACCCACAGTCCGAAGACATGCATGTTCAGTTATTTGGCTACTTGGAATCGTCACTAGGTGCGACTTTACGTGTGAAAGGTTGCCTGTCCTTTGTCTCTGTCTGGCCCAGTGAACCCCTCCCATTTCCCAGTGTCTGCTGGAGATGGGCACCCTGAACAGAACCTAAAGAAAACAGATGAATGTAGTGAGCGTGGCTTGTTTTTGTCAATCGTAGAGCTTTCTTTAATGTCAAAATCTGTCACATGAAAAGCACCAGTATCACCAACCGTGTTGGTTTCTGCTGTGTGACAGATTAGTTGCGATTCTGCAAAATAACACCCGTCTAGTTTCAAAAAGTAACAACTGTGTATTTTGTCCATGTAACTTTTCCAGGTCACAGTCAGATCTAGTTGCCACTCCTTCACATTGTTCCCACACCCACTGTTGCCCAACTGTCAGTTTACACACTGTACTGCTGTTACTCTAGGATTATTGGTAACAAGTCAAGCAGGTCTAGTTGTGGAAATATCTTGGCCACTTCAATTTACCGTATTCATATGTCAATTTTGGTGCAGAAATAAGATTCTGTGAAGGCGGGAGACTTGTCTCTTGTAGTCAGAAGTAGTTTTGTTGTCGCAACTGATTGCTTCAAACTCCAGTGAAAATACCTGCCTACATCTCTCAAGGATTACAGTAACGTTCACATTTCTCTGCAGTGCCAGTATCTAACGTGGTCATCAAGTCTGACCTGGATGAAGCCATTGAGAACAACAGCACTGTGGTTCTTACGTGTTCTGCCTCAGGCTCAGACCTGACATTCAGCTGGACCAACGACACCGTGCCCATTGTCGCCGATGGCAAACGATTGATCGTAACAAATGTGAGTTGTTTCATAGTTTTCATGCTTTAAATTGTGTCTGGATGAGGGACAAAACAGGTTTTGATTATGTGAACGTTTTATTGTTTACTTAACTTCAATATTATTCATAGTTGTACCATTTATACAGTAAGTCATCCAGCCTATATCACTAAAAGTAGACACTGATATCCAATTAAGATTTTAATTTGGCACCAGTTCATAATAACAATCATCTATTGGCAATACAAAATAAAAAAAAGGAAAACAGATCTACTGTAATGTATAGCCAAATGCATGAAGTCCATTTCTGTCCTGTTCGTTCTATTAAAATTTACTCATAACTTTGTCTAAAACTGTCAGATTTGGACTATAAAATCACACCAAATTACAAAACAATCAGATTCAGAAGTCCGATTCAGACCCCATCCTGAGCACGCATGGGAAATCAAGCAAAAAGAAACTTCCTGCAGTACCAGACTCAGGATGGGCAGCCAGCGGCCTCACCCAGCCACGTTTGTAAATCTTTAATTTAATGTAACCACTAGCTGTTCTTACACCATACCATACCACTTTATTTATAAAGCACTTACAACAGCAACAAGGCCAACCAAGGACACAGAATGAAATACATAGATCCAAATGAAAAAATAAAATAACTAAATGGCTAACGTTGTAGAATATAGACAGGTTAAAAACAGTCCAGGGAATAAAAGTGGGGTTTTAAACAAGATTTAAAAACAGTGAGAGAGGGAGCCTGCCTGACGTGTAGTGGTTAGTCATTCCACAGTTTTGGACCTGCAACTTTCAGATGGGTTCCTGGAACCAATAGAAGCATCTGGTCTGCTGACCTCAGAGAGCGCTGTGGAACATATGGCTGCAGCAGATCAGTGAGATAAGAGGGGGCAGAACTGTTCAGATTTAAAAACATACAGAAGGATTTTGAAATGAATTCGAAGTTGAACTGGGAGCCAGTGAAGGGAGGCCAAAACTGGTGTAATGTGCTCTCTTTTGCCTGTACCGGTTAAAAATGTTTGCATCAAACTGATGGGGGATGTAAAGGTCATGGATGTTTCACTCACTAATGTAAAATTGATATAGAACCATGTATGTGAAGTAAGGCATCTTTCTGTCTACTCAGAGAGGAGTAAACAAATTCTTCTTCTCACTTCTGATAACTGACATCTTCATAGGCCTATCGCAATAAACAATAAATCAATTAATCACATGATAAATGGAAATTATCGATCGGATTTTCATTTATCGACTTCATCGTTTCTTCGTGCCTCTCTCTTTCTACCGAAGACACTGGATGACAAAAGACTCAACTCCGATGCGCTTCACTGACCCCTCCCTTTCTCTTGTCTCTTTAAAATCCATTGTAACCGCCCCAAATCGCGTTTTTGGATCCTTAAAAGCAGCTAAGCTGAGAAGCTAAGCTACGAGATATGGTAACCGGCCGACCTCGGGAAAAAAAACTCCATCTTGTCGAAGCTCCAAAATTCATAGTTGAAACCCGTGCCGTCGTGTAAAAAGTTGTTTTTCTCTGCAAAAAGAAGCTGAGAACCTGTTTACTGATTTTTTCTTTTTAATTAAAAGCTTTGTGTGAAAAATGCTAAAGAGCTCAAACCACACAGAGCGTCCGCCATTTTGAGAACCGAAGAGAGCCAGCCCATGTCATGTCAAGGGGCCTCCCTCCCATTTTTTTTTCAGTTCAGTCTTATACTGCCATCTGGTGGTTGCAAAAGGTACTACTGTACATACATAGCAAAATAACACACATGCCTCCTTAAATTTGACAATAATTACTGATTATTGTCAAATTTCAAACAATATTATCGTTTATCGCAATAATTTCTGAGACAATTAATCGCCCAGCAAAACTTGTTGTCGTGACAGGCCTACGCCTCCAAGAGATGTGAGCTGTGAAGCAGAGGTTGTTTTGCCCTCGCCTCTGTCGGATAATGGATTATAAAAGGACACTTCTTTTTACTGCCTGTGAGCAGACCTTGTGAGACGAAGTGCCATGTAACATATTGATGCTTGTTTTTCAACCACTGCTCCATCTTGCAAGGTTAAACCTGGGTTGATAAAGATCTCCTAGTTTCCTTGTGTGGCTTCATTATTTAATGAGTTGATGATGGGATAATTAAATTATCCAACACTAAGTAGATTTAAATTATTGTTTAGGGAAGATAAAACGCTGCATTGATGCAACAATCTGAATCTGTGACATGAATTTTTTGTGTGTTTTTTACACATAGTGTTTTAATTTATTTGCTCCTTGTTTTAAACTTTTATTTTTAGATGCCACCATCACTGGACGGAGGTTCCAGTAAGTTGACCATCACAGGTGTCCTCAGGTCAGACCTGGTTGGTCCCATTTTCTGCACTGCTAAAAACTCACTGGAACAAGGGAAGAGTCCACCTTTCAACCTCACAGTTTACTGTAAGTGTTTCACCTACACCGTTCTGTCGAGTGACTCCTCTTGCACAGGAGCTAACATGTTTTGGCTAAACGAGAAGGAGTGGCTTAGCAAAAGAAAGAATGAATTACTCCCGAGACCGATCAGATTACCACTTAAGAGCAACTTCTGCTGCTTCAGCAGAGAATACACGGCAGCTGTTAACTTAATTGCCTTCAGTGGGACTGTTATTAAGCTTCTGTTCAACTTCTTCTTTAAAACAAACTCTGTTCTTGACCATCTTGTAAGCTTCATTATTTTAGTGCAAAACTATGTGGCTTTCTTGCAAACAGTGACAAGAGAAACCTGTTAGCCTGAAGTCTGAAAAGCAGGTGAAACAGGTCTCCTGTACATCATCACTCCCCAAATTACCATCAAAGTTCAAGTACTGGTGTTTACAGGGGGTGAAACCTAAAGTGCAAAACTAACTATTCAGTTCAGTTTATTTCTATAGCGCCAAGTCACAGCAGAAGTCATCTTAGGACACTGAACAGAAACATTCAAATATAAAACTATTTATTTTTGAGGAGCAGCTGTGAGTTTAACTCCATCACAGAACTCTCATCTTGAGCGAGCATGAAGGAGACAGTGGAAAGGAAAAACTCCCTCACGAGGAAGCAACCTTTAGTAGAACCAGGCTCAGGACAAGCGCCCCTCTGCTTTGACCTGCTGGATTTGGTAGGAACAGATACACAATGGCAGCTCAAGAATCACATGTTAAGATAGAAATGGTATAAAATGAAAACGATTCAATTTTAACAATTCATTGAAGGAAATTAGGTCAGTTTGTCCTCTAGTAGTCTAAGCTTAAGGCAGCATAATAATCCAACCCTAGCTATAGGATTTATCAAACTGGAAAGTCTTAAAACTGGACAATGTGTCAGTCTCACGGACAGAAACTGGAAGTTGGTTCTACAAGAGAGGAGCCTGATAACTGAAAGATCTTCCTCCCATTCTGCTTTTGGAAACTCTAGGAACCGCAAGTAAACCTGAGAGCGAAGTGCTCTGTTGGGAAAATATGAAACAAAATGTATAAGATGGAGCTAGGTTGTTGAGGGCTTTGTAGGTTAGAAGTAAGATTTTGAACTAAACTCTGGATTTGACAGGGAGCCAATGGAGAGAAGCTAAAGCTGGAGAGATATGATCTCTCCCACTAACTCCAGTTAAGACTCTGGCAGCAGCATTTTGGATTAACATACTTTTTAACTAATGTTGATACTATTGATAACTGGTTTATTTTGAGAGATTAAATGATTCAATGACAAATATTCATTTCTCATTTTTGATTTGAAACGTGAAATCACTCCAAGTTTCTCTCCTTTATTGGTCCTGCCATAATATCAGCCATGGCAGTTTAGACAGTTGTTATCATTCTCCATTCATTCCGTTGAATTCCTATTATTTGACATGTTGCACTTGACTGAAAGAGCTTCCACGCCTAGTTGACAGCAAAAGTTCACTCCAGAGCCATCGGCTGCCACTCCACCCCAACAGGCCATTAATACTTAATCTACTTTTTTGTTGTTGTTGTTGCTTTGAGTCACACCCACACATGAGCACCTACATTATGTCTAGAGATATTCTTGTTAAGACTTAAATCCTGTTTAAATGCAGGTTAAAAGAAAGCAGGCATCGTCGTGGTCTTGTAGTTATTTAAACTGCTGCGTGTGTTTGCAGGGCACTCCTCTTCAGCCTGTGCTGTGGAGCTGAAACCACGTTGTGTACACAGCAACCCACACCTCGTCCCCTTCGGCGTGAATAACCTGAAAGGCAGTCAAACCACACCGACCGCAGCTCAGTCCTGTTATTAATTAATCACAAGCTCACAGCTACAGCTCAGGGGGGGTTAACCTGGTCAGGTCCTCTATGAAATAGTCAAGAAAAGTGGGATTTGGTAGAAAAATCTACCGTAATTTCCAGACTATAAGCTGCTACGTTTTTCACACACTTTGAACTAATTTATGGATTTATTTTTATTTTTTTGATGGGCTAACAAGTTTCATGACTCCAAAACATTTAGCCTCATCGCACCCGAGCACTCACATAGCTGCCCAATACATGCCTGTCTTGGGGGGATGGGTCCTCGTGAGACTACCTGTATAAATAAAGTTTAAAAAAAAAAAATCTGAACAATGAAATTACCCAACAGGGCTAATGTATTTTATGTTTTTAACCAGCCATGTTACAGATACTGTTCTGAAAATGAAACATTTAAGGTACATATTTAAGTTAAAAAAACTTTCTCATGTTAAGTGCTATATATGTACACTTTTTCTTTTTAAATTGAGTGGGCGTGGCTTATGTTCAGGTGCGCTCAATAGTCCAGAAATTAGGGTAATTTAAAACATCATTTGTTTTTTTAAAGCTGGTTTTAAAAGATGTTTAAATGGTGGAGTGGTGGTGTAGAGGTTAGAGAAGGTGCGCCTGCGATTAGGAGGTTGCCAGTTTGATCCCCCAGATTGGCATCATCAAAATGTGGGTGTAACTGTTTTATTAAAATGTGGGCGGGACCTGCCTCCCCCCTCGTTTGCTCCACTCTGTGCCCTTGAGCAAGGCCCTTAACGCCCACCATCTGCTCCCCTAGATGTCAGCTTCCTGCTCCACACAGAGGGATGTGGTCTGTGGTTCAGTCAGGAAGGGCGCCCGTGGTAAAAACTAAGCCCAGGGTATCTAACGACACTCCAGACTACAGAAAGTTTTAAGAAAGGATTGAAGACAGTTTAATTTGAATGATTTTATATTGTTTAAACATATTTTTAATACAGCTGTTTTAGTTCTTTATATTTTATAGCCCATGTTTTATTCTCTGTAGTCGAGATGTTTTATATTGTAGCTCTTTGATAAAGTGCATTACAAACTGAATAAAATATCATCATCATTATAAAAACAGTTGTCAAGTCTTCATGTGAGTTAGTTCGCTGTGGCGACCCCTGAAGAAGGGAGCAGCCGAAAGAAGAAAATAAATTAAAATAAAAGTTGATTAAAAGCAACTGGTCAAGAGTTTTCAAAATAAATAAGGAGAAAAGTATGTTTAAGCAATGAGAACCAGTATTTTTTATTGCTTTATGTATATTACATATTTTTTATGTAGCTTTAATATCCTTTACCATCTTAATAAATACCCATGGAAATCTTTGTCCAGTTTAAAATCTTCAATATGATATATGGTGTGTTCATTTTTTAGAGCTTGGTTAGTTCTAAAGCTGTAGAAGAAAAAAAAACATAAAGTAAAAAAATATATATATAAAAATCATGAAAACTTGTTCCTTTCCATGCAGTCTAGCATCCACCCAGCCACTGTCTTTACTTGCTTTGTCCTTTTCGGGTGGTGGGGGTCACTGGTGTCCAAATCTGGACAGGTCTCCAGTCCATCACAGGGACACATGGAGACAAACGAGACAAACAATTCACTCCCTCTAGGGACAATTTAGAGTTACCAATCAGCCTAACGTGCATGTTTTTGGACTGTGGGAAGAAACCCACACATGCACAGAGAGAACATGCGTACTACTCCCAGAAGTTCCCCTGACTGGGATTTGAACTGGCAACCTTCTCGCTGAGAGGCAACAGTTCTATGAACTGCACCTCCATTGCTATCTAGCATTTTGATCCCAATTAAAATCTTTAAATCCTAATTCTTTGTGCTCCACAGATGGACCCGAGGATGTCACAATAAACCCCCTGAAACCCAGCGAGTACGTTACATCCAACTCGGACTTCAACCTGACATGTGCAGCCCGCTCCAGCCCGCCTGCCACCTTCACATGGTACTACAACACGGTTGAAATCAAGGCCAGCGGTCCCATCCTCACCCTGAAGACCATTGAAACGCAAGGATTCGGAAAACAACTGGCAGACTACACGTGCAGAGCCCAAAATGCCAAAACCAAACGTGTCATCCCCTCGTCCGCTGTTCGATTTTCTGTGATGGGTGAGTAATGTGGCCAAGCTCCATGCTGGTGCTGTTAAGTTCTGTGTCACTTCAGCCTCCATGATACTGAACGTTTGTCTTCAAGTCGGTGATTTCAAACAGTTTTTGTAAAAGTTCTGAAAGACGGACATCTGTTAAAAAAAATGATGCTATGGAGAAAAGATGAAGGTTTCATTCCTGCACAGCTGCTTAAATTGTGTCTTCAAGGTTCTGGAATGAAAAATGTGCAGACTGCGCACAGCAGGAAAAACATGAATCTATTGCACATTATCATACTGTACTGTATGTATCTTCACATATAATATATGGACAAATCTTTTCAAGTGAATAATGTGTGAAAAGTGTATTTTTAATGGTGCTAAATTAACATTTTATGGCTTTGTCATGGAATGAGAATGATCATCATGGAATGATTATATTACCGTAATTTCCGGACTATCGAGCGCACACGAATATAAGCCGCGCCCATTAAATTAAAAATAATAATAATAATAATTCTGTAAAATAAGATATTTACACAGAATAAAAAAAAAAAATAATAATAATTTTGTGAAATAACACAGAATTTAAAAAAACCAAACAAAAAACTTTTAATTAAATACGTACCGGTAATCACAGTGAAATGTTTGATAATTTCATTGATCAAATAAAAAAAACAAAAATCTTTATTTATACAGGTAGTCTCACTGAGTCATGAGGACCCACCCCCCAAGAGAGACACGTCACGCCCGGGTGTGACGAGGCTAAACGTTTAGGCGGCATGAAGCTTGTTAGCCCGCCAAAAAAAAAAAATAACTCCATAAATTAGCCGCATTATTTATAATCCGTGGCGTTCAAAGCCTGTGGAAAAAGTAACGGCTTATAATCTGGAAATGATGGTATTTCCTAAAGATACCATCTATAACATGATTTTATCTGAACAGTTGTGGAAAAATAATCCCACCAGTAAAAAGTGTTTAATGCAATGGAACATATAAAAAAATTAACATTGTTGGAGTCCTGTCTAAAAGTACAACATTTCTTTAATGTGAAATTGTACATTTTAACATTTTTACCAAAACAAAAAAAGACAGTTTGACCATTTTGAATAAAACCTAGCAGCACAAGCAGTTGAGACAAACCTGACTGATTTTTTTAATTTTAATTTTCTAAGACTTGTGCCATTTTCAGTTCAGTTTATTTATTTATGTGGTCCCAGTTCACATCAAACGTACTGGTTATGCACGATGGTGCTTTCTTGTTACATCACACATTTTGTCCTGAAGCGTTTCTGGTTCTTTTTGTCCTTTTCTCAGGTGATGAAAGATTAGACAGAAAAGAGGGAGTTAACTTAAATATTACATTATTGTTACACTTTATTTTGGAGACTCAAGGTTGAAAGACTCCCAAGTATGAAAACGCCAATGCTAATGTGCAAGGAAGAAGCAAAACCTTTGCAATCATGACTTGTTTCATGTGGCCTCATTGCTATGATATGAATCAGAACTGATCCATGTTTTAAGGAACTGGAACATCGTTCACACTATAAAGTCTTGCTTGAAAGACAGTATGAAGATGCAAAAGTATGCAGATTTTAATACAGGTACTATTCTATAAATAAAATACAGTGAATCCTAGAGAGAGGCTTATTAAATAGCCACACTTCTCAAGGCTGCTTGTAATCAAATACTCATTTATTAAGGTCTCTACTGTCAGTGCACACTTTGCTCTGTTAACTTGTCTGTTCAAATCTGTCCAAACTGAATGATTTTAGACAAACATATTTAGTAGATTGATCTCACGATGGGTACGATGATGGACTACGATGTTTGCAGATGACATTGTGATCTGTGGTGAGAACAGGGAACAGGTGGAAGAGAACTTGGAGAGGTGGCGTATGTACTAAAAAAAAAGAGGAATGAAAGTCAGTTGTAGAAAGACAGAGCAGAGGTCACAAAGGTGCAGGACTTCAAGGACTTGGGGTCCACTGTCCAGGAAAATGAAGAGTGTGGTAAAGAGGTGAAAGACAAGACCGTTGTGAGACCAGTTGTAAGGTCTGGAGACAATGGCATTGACAAAAAGACAAGAGAAAGAACTGGAAGTGACAGAAATGAAGCTGTTGAGGTTCTCCTTAGGAGTGACAAGGATGGGTAAGTTTAGGAATGAGATCATCAGAGGTACAACACAGGTTGAACAACTGGGAGATGAAGTTAAAGACACCAGACTGAGATGGTTTGGACATGTCCAGAGGAGGGACAGTGGGTATAATGGTAGAAGGATGTTAGAAATGTAGGTGCGAGGGAACAGACGAGGAGATATATGGATGCAGCTAGAGAGGACATGGAGGTAGTTGGAGTAGGGACAGAGGATGCAGAGGAGAGAGGGAGATGGAGGAGGATGACTCACTGTGGAGACCCCTGAAGAGGGAAAAGCAAAAAGAAGAAGATCTCGTGAAGGTTAAACTTGCAAGAAGTTTTGGCATTTTTGGAAATATTTCTGCACATGCAGACAGATTAAACATTGTTTCCTGTGGAAGTGAAGTTTCTACAGTTACTCTTGTTTTACTGTTGCCGCAGTTACTACACTGGGTAATCATATAAACTGTAATCACAGTTCACTAAAGTTCATGCTCAATAATCCAGGTATAAAATCCAACAATGTTCAGTCAGGTCATCTTGACGTTTTTTTTTTTTTGTTTTTTTTGTGCTGAGACGTTTCGTCCGTCATCCAATGGACTGTTATCAAATTAGTAATGCCTTAAAATCCATATTTCTTCTGAATCAATAGCAGAACTGAAAACGTGTTTTGTAGATGGTTTCAGTTTTCATTCCCACACAAACAATTTTTTTTTCTATGTCGTAATTTAAGAAGAATCTAAACATTTCACACCATCAGGCTTTCTCAGCTACACATTTTTTTAGACGCAAACTGAAGGTTAAGTTTTTTTTTTTAATTTATTTTCTTTTCAAGATGATCAATAAAAACCCACATGAAGCAAAGTACACAAAGTGTAGGATCCAGTTTCCTGGCGTTTATAGAGAAGAAAGGGCGGAGTACATTTTACTATTTGTGTTTTACTCTGTTAATATCTTAGAATTAATTTATATTTCTGTCTTTTGTCATTTACTGAACATAGTTCTGTTCTGATAAATGGCTTTATTCGATTACTAAAATGCAAACTTGGTTGTAGAGTCTAATCCCTTTGTGTAAAGTTACAATAAAAATACTTTCGGGAGTAACAGATTCCTCTTCTTTTGTTGCTCACAGAACCCATAATAGATGCTATAATCACCAGCCCGACTAGTGCCCTCATGGCCGGCAACAGTTCGGCCAACATCAGCTGCCGGGCGACGTCAGGCAACGTCACGGAAATAATCTGGCTGAAAGATAGTAAAGCTCTGTCTGCCAGCGATAGAGTTGTTTTCTCCAGCGACAAGAGCTCCATTTTCATCAGTGTGCTACAGAAAGAGGACAATGGAGTCTACACCTGCAAGCTCCGCAACTCAGTCAGCGAAAAAGAAGCCACCTACATCATGACAGTCAGCTGTGAGTTGATGTTTTATTCTTTCACATCTTATTGTATTTAGACGCTAACAACATTATAATTTTTTTATATGGGAGCTTAGTGGGAGTGGTGCTTATTATTAAAACTGAGCCGTTCTATCATTGATTTCATCTCCTTTGGTTCCCAGATGGTCCTGATCCAGTGACGGTGAATGGGAAGGGTGAAGTAGAAGTGGATACTGAGGTGGTGCTCACCTGCTCTGCTCCGTCCGTCCCACCTGCTAACTTCACCTGGAAGTTAAACGGCACAGTGCTTCCACCCAAAACGACCAATCTAGTCATCCAAAAGGCTTCATATAAAGACTCGGGGTTGTACACATGTGAGGCGTTCAATCAAGTCACGGGCAAGACCACCGTTAACACTCACACCCTCAGTGTAAAAGGTAACATTAAGACTGTAGTTTATTTTATTTTTTTAAGGAAGGAATTCACCAACAATGTCAGCTACACAATCATGTGCACACACCAAACCAGCAGGTCAACGTCTGCGAGGGCTGAGTCAAGACTTTATTCAGGATTCATTTAAGGGTTTAAATTTATTTTCAAATTTAACAAGCAATAAAACTTGAGAAAAGCTTGCCTTGGCAGGGCACCCATATCTTCTGTGATTTTTTTCCAGTTAGAATGGTGTGTGTGTGTGTGTGGGGGGGGGGGGGGTGGCTCAGCGTGAGTGAAGGGGCGCTACCTGCTTTAGCTTTTTAGCTAGTGCGTCTGTATTGCGTGCCGCTAGCTTAGTGCTACGTAAGTGCTGGCGGTTATCAACGGGGCGGGGGTGCTGGTAGGCAGGGTGCTCGGTTCTGTTGACAGGGCGGGGCACCCTGCTTGTATAATGGTAGGGGAAACACTGGGCTTCACTTGTGTATAAGCCGTGGGTGTCCACGTTGTAACATGAGATATTTACATAAAGATTTTTTTAAACTTTTAATGAAATACGTACCAGTAACATACACAAATACGTACACTAAATGTGTTGTTTTTTTTTTCTGAACAGTGCCTGTAATACGGCTGCTTAAAAATAGTATTCTACCAGGAAGTCATTGATCGCTAGCTTCATCTTCCTCCTGCGCACCACAGACATATATACGCTGCACACTGCTACAATGAGCTTTTGCTTTTCTCTTCATCACGTTTCACCCCTCCCTCGGGGCACAACCAGGAGGGGAAGGGAGAACACGAGAATTTCCCCAGTGGTTTCATTGGTCCACTGTGACATGTTCGGTCATTTCATTGGTCATTTTATTTTATTTTTAACCTTTATTTATACAGGTAGTCTTACTGAGTCACAAGGACCCACCCCCCAAGAGATATGCGTATGTGAGCGCCCGGGTGTGACGAGGCTAAATGTTTTGGCGGCGTGACGCTCGTTAGCCGTCAACAACAACAAAAAAATCCACTAATTAATTGCAGAGTTGTATAAGCCGTATAACCTTATGTTCAGAATACAAAGTATTTGACTGTGAGTAATACTTTAGTTAATACCATGTGTATATTCACTTCCCAAGTGGAGTTCATTGGTGTATTTTTTTTTACCTTGACAACAGATAAATACCTCAATAGTTAATTAAAATAAACTTAGTTGCAATAATAAACATTTGATCCACTTGTTTCCAATATTGTTAGGTACAGGTACTGACAAAGATATATATATTTTTTCAGAATGATACAACTATTGAATGACTTGTTTGCATCTTCAAAAAATACACTTGTATGTGGGAGAAAGAACACAACCAAGAGATAGGCATCTTGTTTTTTGTTTCTTAGTTACTTCAGAATTAAATCCCTTCTGTAGAACAGCACACATCATACAAAGTGACAGGCTTTTACCAGCACTAGTGATCAGTTCTCACAAAACCACTACAAACTTTCGTACAGACGTTCATTTCCTCTGTGGTTTCTGCTGAAAACTGTCAAACATGGCATCGTTTCCCCAAATAACATACATGTTGCTGTTTCTTTTAATAATAAAAGATGATTCACAGAGTGTTGCAACGTATACGAGTTTAATTACATTTGTTTTGTCTGATGTTTATAGAGGAGATCAATGATGGTCTCTCAGATGGAGCTATCGCTGGAATCGTCATTGCCTGCCTTGTTGCAGTGGGAGCATTCATCGCTTTGTTCTTTTACTGTCGACAGAAAGTACCGTAAGTACTCTTGTGTTTTTATACGTAAACCTGAGCATGTAGTTTTGATCCTAAAGGATTCATTTGGGTGAGGTGGGACACCCTTTAAACCTTTGCATTGATGTGCAGTAAACCAACCAGTGTTGTGTCTTTGCTGTTGTTTTCACTGAAAATTATTTAAAATATTTATGTTCTAGGGGTTTATTCTAGTATTCTTTTATAGACTTTTCAAGAATTGGTCTTTTGGAAGAAACATTTTGTCCCATCAGACAAATGTCCCTGTTTTGATGTTGGCTTGTGAGTTCATTCAAAGTGCCAAAATAAAAATAAAAACACACCTATGAAGCTTATTTGGTGAACATAAGTTAAACACAAGCTCCAATTGCTTAAATTATCTATATGTTTTTTTTTGTTACTGGATCTAAGAACCAGCTCAAACCTGGACAACTGGTCCCAGATGTGTCTGCCTACTTAAAGTCAATGAAAGGGTGATTGTTTTAGTCCTGGGTGTGTTTAGATCTGTCATTCTGACCATTTGTTTCTCAAACCAATATCCCTTGATCATAAGGAATAGCTGTGGTTAAGTTTTAGATCATAATTGTTGCTGTGTAAAAAAAAAAAAAAGATTCTCTTTACTTTTCTTATCTTTTTTTCAGACTTGTTCTTTGTAACATACCAGTCATAATGGTGTTGGCTACCTTCTGATGTTCTAGGAAAGTGTCATCATTCCTCGAGCTTTGGTATCTTGTAACATGCTAAAAATGATGAACAAACACAGATGATAGGGCTGCCAAGTTACTGTTACAATACACCATCATTTAAAACACATTCATGGACAGAAATTGTTTTGCTAGAAACTTTTCGACACTAAATCCAGTTATTCCATCCACAACATATCTAGACAGACTGAGTTGAGTCAGTAGCATCTTCATAAAACAACAATAGAGCAGTTTGTTGCTCTCAGCAAGAAGAAACATTTAAATAACTTACATTAACCATCCATCCATCCATAATCTTCCGCTTGTTCCAAAGTCGGGTCGTGGGGACAACAGCTTGAGCAGAGAGGCCTAGACATCTCTTTCCACAGCCACCTCTTCCAACTCTCCTGGGAGGACTCCAAGGCATTCCCAGACCAACCGAGAGACAGTCTCTCCAGTGTGTCCTGGTCTTCCCAGAGGTCTCCTCCCAGTTAGAAATACCCAAAGCACCTCCATAGGGAGGCACCTAGGGAGCATCCTTAACAGATGCCCGAACCACCTCAACTGGCGCCTCTCCATGTGGAGGAGCAGTGGTTCTACTCCGAGTTTCTCCAAGGGAGAGTCCAGCTACCCTGCGTAGGAAACTCATTTCAATCGTCTGTATCCACAATCTCATTCTTTCAGTCACTACCTGGAGTTCATGCTTATAGATGAGGGTAGGAACGTAGACTGACCGGTAAACAGAGAGCTTTGCCTTACAGTTCAGCTCCCTCTTCACCACAACGCACCAACACAGAGTCTGCAATACTGCAGTCACTGCACCAATCCATCTGTCAGTCTCATGCTCTATCTTCTTGTGAACAAAACTCTTAAAATACTTGAACTACTCCACTTGAAGCAGAACCTCACCCTCGACCCGAAGACAGCAATCCACACTTTTCCACCTGAGGACCATGACCTCATGACTAATATTAACAAAATAAAATAAAAAATACCGAACAACATATGCACAACATGAGTTATACTCCATCGTGGCCCACATGGTGTGCTTCAACACCTGCAGTTATATTCACATTTTTATCTTGTTTCCACTAAACAAGCTATTTATATTGGGACTATATATAAGGATATGGACTGAAATGGGGTAGAACAGCTGACTTGGGACCAGGAAGTCGTGGTTCGACTCCCAGCCATTCCCACACATTGTGGTGTCCCTAAGCGAGACAACCAATCCCCAGTTGCTCCCCTGGTGCTCACATAGCTGTCCACTGTTCCACCTGGGTATGTCTCAGGTGTGATAGGTTAAATGCAGAGAACTAATTTCGCCATTGTATCGGAACATACAATGATGAACACATAGCACTTCACTTTACTTTATTTAACATGTTATGTTTGCCAGTAATGTACTTACTCTTTATTCTGGAGGCTGGACAGAACACAAGTATGGGGTTTGAAAACTAACTAGTCATATTTAATTTTGTCAGTGAGTTGCTGCTGTCAGTTTTATATGAAACACTACAGATAGGTTTAGTTTGTTTGAGGGGGTGGCTGTGGACGAGTGGTTAGAGCAGTCGTCCTCCAATGCAAGAGTTGGGGGTTCGATTCCACCAGCAGTCACATGACAAAGTGTCCCTGGGCAAGACACTGAACCCCTCATTGCCTTCGATATGTGACCCATTGGTGTATGAATGTGATAAAGCACGGATTATTTTCTGTGTAGATATAGTAGAGTGATTGGTAAATGAGGGCACAGATTGTGTTGTAAAGAGCTTTGAGTATCTTCATAAGATATAAAGGAACTATATAAGTACAATCCATTTACCATTTGAGTTCAAATAAAGTGCTGTGCCCACTCTTGCACCATTTATGTGCAGGACCTTCATGTGCTGTGGTTACCTTATGTTGTGTTTCCATCAACACTAAAGGGACTTAACACCAGTTTACATCCAACACCACTTCAGTAAATTGCATGGGACTGGATGTCTAATAAGTTTTTTCCCTCTCCATTCAAAAAACAAATAACTAGTTGATTTTATTAATTCACTTCTTAGTCAAACTAACAAAAAATGTTTTAGGAACAGAGCGACAAATAGTTTTACACGTGAACGACACATTGTTTGCATACAACAGTGATGATCTTGCACTGCATCCTGTTACATTTCAACATATTCCATCAAACAGAAACGTTCACTCTGAAACAAAAACAGACGTGTCACACAGATATTCCTCACTTCAGCATCTGGAAACCACCATTTAAAGGTGACTTATTAACACAAACTCTTATGAACAAAGTTGAAACATGTCCTTTATGTAAAGTCTCAACTTGCTGGTGGAGGTAATACAAGAAAGAGTAACACAACCAGTAATTCTACTTTCCTAGCGTTACCAGGTAAACGAATAAACAGGGAAAAGGTCCAGATATGCTTCCAGTGCAGTGAAAGCCAAACATCTGGGTATACAAAGACTATATTTTGAACGGATAGTGTATAATACAGCTTCAGTGAAATTATTTAATGAATATAGAACAATGGATTTTAGCCACAGTTAAAGGTATTCACCCCCACTTCCTCCTAGCCTGCAGGCAGCTGCAATTATCTTTTGCGTTTGTTTGTTAAAAAAAAAAAAAAAAAACTTGAGGAAACCCTGTTTGTGTCTTTTGGAGTAAACGGTGCGATCATGTTCCGTAGCTAAACCTTCCCCTCCCCCGCCCAGCTTTTAACAAATCACCTGTCAGGATTATCTGATGCTACAGAGGTCATCAGGTGTCAGGTACAGGGGGTGTTCCACCGTAGAGCTCCTCCTCGGGCTTCGGGGCCTTTAGACGGATTCACTTGTCCATCCAGCTGTCATTTTATCCTTATCACATTCATCCCGACTTTCAGAGAGTGTCATCAGGCAGACAGGAGGGCTTTGTTCTGCGCTGAGTCTTCGTCCTGTTTATGTTCAGCAGACGTAGAGCTCTGGGAGGAACGTAAATCTGGTTTTGGAGATGTTTCTGGCAGTTTAGATCAAGACCCACAAATAAGGCTCAACCCTATTCTTTGCTCTAAAGGTTACCTGGATTCACAGGGTTAAGGTGCAGGTGTTTGTCTAAATTGAATGTTGGTTTTCCTGTGGCTCTAAGCTTCTTTTAATTGCCAAAGTCAAAGGTGGAACTATAATGTTTTTGCCCGTTTGTCTGTACCGTTGACGAAAAATGTCATTATTCAGATTTATTGAAATAACGTATTTTCCGTCGTACACGTCGCACTGCCATATAAGTCGCATCAGTCCAAATATGTTTAATGAAGTGGAAAACACCATAAATGTGTCACTTTGCCATATAAGTCGCATCTATTATGCATCCTTGACGTGTTGCGTTTATTACGTGTAACCGCTGACAACCCAGAAATGTGGGCCGATGCTGTGCCAAAAATTGATTGGCTGCCAAATGGCGGCCACGGGGGTGTGCACGGGAGGACTTTGACACGATCAGCACTTAAAAACAATTATTTGTTTGCTCGACATTATAGTAAAGGTATGTCTAAGTTGAGCTTTTACTTAATAAATGCACTGTAACGGTCAAATCAGCTGTATTTTTAAAGTATTTGGTGCCTCGGTGCTCCGGGAGCACGCAGAGGAAGGAACAGGAATGAAGAACGCTGTGCATTTCTTCAAAATTTAACAAGATAAGCACCTAAAACAACTATTTGTTTGCTCGACATTATAGTAAAGGTGTGTCTCAGTTGAACTTTTACTTAATAAATGCACTTCAATGGTCAATTTAGCTGCATTTCGCCGGGGCGGCACAGCGAAATAAAGCTGATTTGACGGTTGCTCCAGGCATGATCCTGGAGCAGGACGAAGGTGACAGTTTTTGGCAAGCCAGTTGTGTCATTAATAGCCACTTTTTCCTATTACATGACACATCGGCATGCCATACTGCTAGAGTGCCATCTAGCGGCTGAAAATGGTAGTGTTCAATATTTTCAATGTCAGAATGAATGAAAAGAGTCAAATCTCAGCCAGGTTTATAGATATGGAAAATAAATAAACACAAATAAGTTGCTTCGGTGTATAAGTTGCAGGACATGTACATTATGCAAAAAACAACGCGTATAGGCCGGAAAATACGGTATGTCTTGTAACTCCTACAAGTCATATGCTGCCAGAACCACTTTCTTCCACCTGCAAAATAAACAGATAACTTTTACTAACATAATCTATTTTATTGGAATGTGTTAATATAGTAATCTGAGATGACTTTTGTTTCTAATTGGTGGTATACAAATAGACCAATTGAATGAATACATGATTTAAAAAAAGTAAATTCTACCCCTTAGTTTCTATTGTTCATCGTTTTTTGCAAACTACTGAGTTATCTTTAGAATCGTTGAAATAGTGGTCCTGTTTTAATCAATTTGATTGGTTGATAGTAAGAACTACAAAGTAGAAAGTTTCTGGAGAAACGTTGATTGACACGTTGCTGCCGTTTTACATTTTCGATTTGACAGTACTATGTGTTGGAGTTTACTCTCAGCTACCACCACACCAAATTTCAGCTCAACACAACAACAAAAAATCAAGGAGTTATAGTCATTTTTTTCGTTTAGGCCATGGTGGCCATCTTGAATTTTTGATTTAGATTTATTATGTGACGGGGAACGTTCTCAGCTATAACCACACCAAATTTCAGCTCTATGTGTAAAAATAGCTGAGCTAAAGACATTTAGGTTTAGCTTTGAAGCCATCTTGGATTTTTTAATTTTTATTTCAGTCTTTATTGAGCATTGCTCTCAGCTACCACCACACCAAATATTAGCTTAATATCTCTAAAAATTGCTGGTTTATAGTATTCTTCTTTTCAGCTCAGACAGACATTTTGGATTTTTGATTTGCAGTCAGAGTCTACTTGCTCTCGGCTACAATCGTACTAAATTTCAGCTCAATAGCTGAAAGAATGACATGCTTATAGTCATTTTTGTGTTGTCTGAGGTAGCTGTGGCAGCCATCTTGATCCAAAATGGCTCCAAAAGTTTATCAATTTGTTCAGAGACCGCTCCCCTCTGGGTCTTGTGACCTCACTGTGGCAGTCAGAGTTCTATAAGTGTTTTTTTTTTTTTAAAAAGGCATCTTTGTTAATAAATTATGTTGCCATGGTAACTTAAAATGCCAATAAAAGTATTAGCACACATCACAGTGCTGATCCGGTTGTTTTGATATAACATTTGCGAGGGTTCACGTTGTGTTTCGGGCCACATTAAAGTTGAAGGAAGACCCTTTTCAGGTGGATAGTAAAGTGGGTGCCTTCATGCGTCCCCATTTTCATTAAATCTTTTAATGTGCATGAGGGCAGCCTTGCAGCATGGTTACCATGGTGGTCTTACTTGGTTAGTTTGCTTTGTGATGCAGTTCAATCCAAACAAAGCTGGATGGCTAACTAATCCTGCAGTGTGGACCTCAGCTGAACACCGCAGAATGTGTTTTTTTTTTTTTTCGCTCACAGTGACACATGAGAACTTTGTGTGCAGGTGGGAGCAAAGGGAATTAAAGAAGTTTGTCAAAGAGGAGAAGACAGACGAGGAAGGCGGGAAGTAAACTGCGGCATGCAGACGTCTTTACAAAGAAAAGTCGTCAGCAGTGGTGACAGCTGAGCCGCAGACTGAGGATGATGAGTTTGGGCGACTTGTGCAGGCAGTTCAGCATATTTAGAAGTCCATAAGCAGGCATGTTGCTGCGTTAGTTAATGTCGGTATTTTGTTTTGACTTATGATCAAATTTACTTTGACAAAGCATGAACGCCTCATGCACAGTTGCATCATTTCTGTCAGTACTTAGTTACTCCCACTCTCTCTGTGGCTCTCGGTCTTAAAAGTGAAAAACAAACAAACAAAAACAAATTATAAGCAGTTAAGTTTAGTTAATCGAGATACACGTCCAGTTGTCTCACCCACCAATAGGACCTTTTTTTGTCGAGCTGGTGTGATGATCTTGTGCGTGTTTTTTTTTTTTTTTGATTGTGGGGTGGGGTGACAGTTTACTCCCACCAACCAAAACATGCATGTTGGATTAACTGACAACTCTAAACTGTCATTAGGTACGAGTGAGAAAACACAAATACCGTAATTTCTAGACTATTGAGCTCACCTGAAAATAAGCAACGTCTGCTAAATTTATTTGATTTCTTTGTAGATATACAGTTTAGGACTCGCTTGAATATACGCCACGGTTGTCCCCATTGTAACATGAGAGATTTACACAGAAATATATATATTTTTTAACTTTTAATTAAATATGTACCAGTGACATACACAAATATACAGTAGTCCCTCGTTTATCATGAAGGATCTGTACCCTGAAGACCCACAATAAGTGAAAAACTGCAAAGTAGGAATAGTAGTACAAGTAGTAAGTAGTTTATTTTAGTAT